AAGCGTTTTGTTTAAAGGTAAAATAAGAACAAAAGATGGTGGGTGTCCGTGTCGCGCTTTTTCGCCAATGTAAATGGGAAGAATTTACACCAGAACCGTGATTAGATATACTGTACAATTTCACTAGCCAGTTTTTTTAAGAAATGACGTGACCAGCTCCTTGTAAGATTCTTACGGTTAAACGCGATAGATCAGATACTTTTACTTGATTGCATTACATCTTGTCTGGCTCACTGCATTAAAGAGAAATAAATATCACGGATTCTTGAATCGCTATTCTATCAGTAAAATAGCATACGGTCGGAGTGGGTGGGCGGAAGATGATACCCTTGCCGAAATTATAAGAGCTAAAAAGGTAAGTATATTGTACTGAATAGGTCATTTTTTTTTATTGCTTGTTTCATAATAAGTCCTAATAGTGCAATTTTCAAGTAATTAAGGCCACTAGAACTACTAAACGATGTAAAAATGGTACAACATGACAACAGCTGATGCTTTGTCACTTTGTTCAACCTAACTGGTAATTTAAAACTGTAATACATTATTACCGAAATTGTTCTAAAGATACGACCAAAAGTAGACCAAATAAGCTTACACTCTAGCTGAGTTTCCAAACTTTTTTGGCTGTACCAATCCCTACCAGTTTCATATGCGCCTTCACCGAAACCTTCTAAAGAGTTTTATCGTCCACATTGACAAAATCTGATCGTGAATCATATGAGTCGGGTGTGTGTCTTGAACTCCGCCCAAGCAGTGTTTCTTCCAGACTTTTGTCTCCGAGGGGGGGGGGGAGCTTTTAAAATTTTCGGGGGGCGGTCAACATTTTTCGGAGGGGGGGGGGGGCGGTAACTAGTAAAAGTGTATGTTTACTATATAAAATCCATTTTGTTCGGGGGTGGGGGGCGGTAGACTTTCATCGGGGGGGGGGGGGGGTGGACAGACCCCTACTCCCGAAGAGATGCCTGTAAGAAACTCTGCGCTCAAGCTCTGAGACTAACATACCGTACCTCTTGGGTTCGATCGAACCACTGCTGTAAGTCTTTTGATTTCTTCTTTTTCTTCGTTTCGGTTTCATCAGGAGCATAGGCGTAGGCAACACTTCGTCAACTCACCTGATTTTTTAAAGATAATAATAATAATCCAGCCTTCCTCGTTAAACTTAAAATTTACTCAGTGAAATGTGTAAATAATAGTCAGCCAAAGGGAATTAATCAAGATAAATTAAACAAAATTTTGCATGCAAGAGTAAATTCCCTTGAAATGACTATCTGCTAGACATCGTCTTGTCAAGGTCTACCAATAGTAGCGCCGCGAAGTTTAATCATAGAATGTCGTGTGCCACTGTGTCCATATTATTGGGTGCGCCTTAAAATTGATTCGATTTTATACACGGCTATAATACTACATCTTATCAATATTTCATCGCACTCTTTAAAACGACATATGCGCCTCAGCGCTCTCGGGATAGCCCTGGGTGGCAAATCGCACCCTATAGGGGCGTCGGTGGACGTACCTGATTCCGTTTAGTGAACGACTATAACTTCCTATCTTATCAATAGTCTATCGCAGTGCTTAGAACGAACGTAAGTGCTATAGCGCTCACGGGATAGCCCAGGTGCCAAACTGCACCTTGCCTGGGATCCCCCCCCCCTCGAATTTGAATTTTTTTCCTCGTAGAAAATCCCCCAGGAGTATACTCAACAACTTCCTAAAGTTTCATGGCGATCGGATGAAAGGTCTAGTAATGCATAAAAGACAAACAGACGAACACACAAACATATATAACAGACATATATATATATATATATATATATATATATATATATATATATATATATATATATATATATATATATATATATATATATATATATATATAGGTAGGTAGGGCCCAGAAAAATTTCTGCTGGAGGGAGGGGGATAGGGGGGGGGTCATTTTTTCTATTTCCGCCACTGGGCGATAGGCGTACTTTGGGGGCGGTGCTCGTTTGAAGAGATGTCTGAATGCGACACTAGAGATCTAGTGAAAATCACCGTAATTTTTCAAGAAAACAAAACGTTATCCCAAGTACCTGTTATCTAGGTTACAATAACGCAAACGGTAAAGTTAAACAACCCGCATCCACGTTGACGCTATCACAAAAGAGGGATAGTTATTTCCCTTTAGTGCCCTACAAGTCACTAGCTGAGAAAATGATTGAGTGTATTTAGGAAACAATTACGTCAGGCAAGGGAGGCTATTACTCAAGTAACAAGCATAACAAATATGAATCAATCGTACTCAGATATAAAATTTAACATTTGCAATTCAAATTTCAAAATCTTAATAAAAACGTTTCAATAACTAGGTTTCATACAAGCACTTAAACAAAGGTAGAAAATAAATGATTTTCTTTAAATGTTTTATTATGCACAACTATTAAATAATGATAAACAATTATAAAGAGCGTCGGTCGCGTATTCATGAAATCCTTCAGAAATCATTCCATCATTTTAATCAAGATTTCTGTCGTGCTCTTAAAATGTGCCTTCTGTGGATTAAAAAAAATATTTACAAAATATATCAAAGCCAAAAGATATAAAAAGAAAGTATATCATAGAACCAAACTGTTGAATCCTTATCAATAAAGTAAAGAATACACAAACCATGCCCACAAGGAGACATCTTTTTCCCCTACCTCCCCCCACCCCTCTCAGTTCATACACACTTTAATCAAATAAAAACTTTGTTCAAACTTTACCGGCCAACAGAGGACATACGGAAATCGTTCTACGCACACAATATAACAATTAATGCAAGACGAGCTCAAGACACCCTTCCGTCCTCCAGCTTTTATCTTCCACCTTACATCCTCCCCCCCCCACCCAATCTCTACCCTACATCATCCCCCACCATCATCCAACTCCCACCCTCTATCCTCCACCCTACACCCCCCCCCTACTCTCCACCCTAAATCCTCCTCACCCACTCTCCATCTTACATTCTCCCCCTCCCCAATCTCTACCCTACATCATCCCCACCATCATCCAACTCCCACCCTCTATCCTCTATCCTTCACCCTACACCCCCCCCCCCACTCTCCGATCATCCCCCCACTCTCCACCTTACATCCTCCAACCTACCCCCACTCTCCACCCCCACTCTCCAACATACACCCCCTTCCCCACCACCATCCTTCACTTTCCTCCACCCTCCAACTTCTACTTTCCATTCCATCCTCCACCCTCTACCCTGCATCCACTTTCCTAAACCAACCACCCTCCACTTTCGCTCCTCCATTCTCTATTCATCCAGCTAAATAAAATTAACAAAGGTACGTTACACAAATATGTTGATTATAAAAATAGATTACCAACATCGTATGATAAATTATCTAAACTATGACTCAACTTGCAAATCATCCTGACCTGGTTGACAGGCTGTGTGATACAAATGCTGGAACACATGTTTCGACAAGTTGATGAATTATCATCACAACTCTTACAACAGCTAATGGCGTAGTTCAGGGTGGGGGCGTGGGGTGGGGGGGGGGGGGGGCAGCCGTGTGTGTTTACTCGGCAAAAGTTGTAGAGTAATTAGGAAAAGGCTTATTGCGCTGCATTACATAATTATTTATATTCGAAGTAAAGACAATAGACAGATACATGGCTACACAAAGTGAATAATGTGGCTATTTCTCACATCGATTGGCAAGCCATTGGGTTTAAAACATCCCCGTCTCATCCCTAGTTGTTTGATCGATGGAGGGATTGAAGGATTTTCATAACTATTTTCGTGTTGATGAATCGGGTATCACATTTGTACGATATAATCGTAACAGGTAATATAAACTACTGACTCATCATTCTGCGGGTAGTTCGTTGAAGCTAAAACTCGCAGTTTGTAGATTTTCACCGAATTATTTTTATCTCTTTTGACCATTGGAGAGACGATATCACGGAGAAATTATTATCTAACACCGTTTCTTTTCTGTTTATAAAAATCACTATATTTAAACAACTGCGATATAATTGTACGTTTGAAAGCGGACTTTAAACCCCAAACAAGAAGCAATTATTACTCAGGAAGAAAGATAGCGAGAGAGAGGGAGAGAGAGAGAGAGAGAGTGTGTGTGAGAAAAATGTTGAGAGTACGTCGGATAGTTCGCACCCGTCTACGACAGGACTCACTAAGACAGGGTTCACTACGACAAGGTTCACTAAGAAAGGCTCACTACGGCAGGGTTCACTACGACAGGGTTCACTACGGCAGGGTTCACTAAGACAGGGTTCACTACGGCAGGGTTCACTACGACAGGGTTTACTATAACAGGGTTCACTACAATAGGGCTTACTACGGCAGGGTTCACTACGACAGGACTCACTACGACAGGGTTCACTACAATAGGGTTCACTAAGACAGGGTTCACTACGGCAGGGTTCACTACGACAGGGTTTACTATAACAGGGTTCACTACAATAGGGCTTACTACGGCAGGGTTCACTACGACAGGACTCACTACGACATGGTTCACTACGACAGGGTTCACTACAATAGGGTTCACTAAGACAGGGTTCACTACGGCAGGGTTCACTACGACAGGGTTTACTATAACAGGGTTCACTACAATAGGGCTTACTACGGCAGGGTTCACTACGACAGGACTCACTACGACAGGGTTCACTACAATAGGGTTCACTAAGACAGGGTTCACTACGGCAGGGTTCACTACGACAGGGTTTACTATAACAGGGTTCACTACAATAGGGCTTACTACGGCAGGGTTCACTACGACAGGACTCACTACGACATGGTTCACTACGACAGGGTTCACTACGGCAGGGTTCATTTTGACAGGGTTCACTACGGCTGGACTCACTACGACAGGGTTCACTACGACATGGTTCACTTTGACAGGGTTCACTATGACAGGGTTCACTACAATAAGGTTCACTACGACAGGCTCCTTACAGGGGTCCATACGCCCCTGCTTACAAGGACTGTTATCATAAGGCGTTGATTTTCTCGAAATTCGACTTTGTTGTGTTATCTGACGTGGATTGATTTCAGTATTAATAGGTTAATTCAGTTGCTCTAATGAAGTTTGAAATGAAGGAAGTCTGATTGTAAGTTAATCATTGTTATAGAACACATACATGCTAACATATTGACACAAATACTGATTGTGAAAGTAATAATCATCACATAATCATCACCATAGTCATCATCACCATAATCATCATAATAATCATCATAATAATTATAATAATCATAATGATCATAATCTTCTTCTTCGTTCTTAATTTTAGTGTTGTGAGAGATCCCCTCCAACACAAATTACGTGTCGACTCCGATTTTAGCCTGCTTTTCTTTTTGGATTTGCTTCATAACCTTTGTCCAACCAATAACAAACTACAAGGCAGCAGTTGTTTGTTTTTGGAGTTGTCTCTCCTAGAAGAGTGGCTGTCCCCAGCTAACGAGCCTCATCTACCCGGCCCGAGAGTTCGAACTCGAGACCTTTCGGTTTAGCAACCATGAGCTTTACCGGCTCGACAACGCCGACCACTTATAATGATAACGCTACCGACGAAAAGTATAGAAAAATAAATTGATACAATAGTTAAATGAATACATTTTTTTCCAGCGCAGATTTATTTCCTGTACTTTATTTGCATTGACCACGCCCAGATTGGAAGTGTTATGTTAAACAATCAAGCAGAATGCTTAGCTATTTATGTGTTGGGAAATCAGGACATGGCAAGAGCTCCACTCTGAACTCAATCACAAATGACGACATCTTCAAGAGGGCTACAGACACGACGTCTGGTTCTAAAAGAGCTGGTTTGTTCAGTGCCCAGGTCGGAGGTCAGACCCTCAAAATTATTGATACACCTGGTCTGTTTGATCCTACCGTTGATGATGATGTTGAGAATATAAGGTTTGCTAGAGGCAAAATAAGCGAAGCTTTTCAAATAATGAAAAACAACAGCATCCAACATTTGGATGCTATTCTACTCGTACTAAGTTACATCAATGTTTACAGTGCAGAAGAACAAAAGACTATTTCGTATTTAAAAACAATATTCGGACCAAACTTTATTCGGGATAACTGTGTTTTACTGATGACGCATGGAGACAACTACTCAAGCGATGAGAATAATACAAAATTTCCAACTTTCAAAGATTGGTGTGAAAGTCAGACAGGTGCACTGCTCGCATTATTTCAAGAGTGTAACTTTAGAATCGTCTTGATAGATAATAATGGCAGTGAAATGGCAAAGTACGATAGTGCTCAAGAAATCTTTGAATACACTCTCAAAATGAAAAGTAAGTATTATATCAAACATTTTCAACAACAAGAAAAAAATCGCCAAACTATGCTTTTAACGTTTTGCTTGGATGAACTAAAGGAAAACATGAAAAAGCGATTAGAGTTGTTGTATGAAGACTTTTATCTTCTACTCACCCCAAATGAAAACCTTGATAAAATGAGTCAAAAATTTCTAGAGCATTGTCAGGACGGCGAATTAAGTGTCCAAACTTTAGAAAACGTCAAAGATTCTGCCGTTAAATTCAGACAAGCTTACAATGCGAAAGGGAAAGCCATTGAAGCCGAGAATTCAAAAACAAGTCTCCGAAGAGCTTTAAGGTGCGAGCTTATAAAGGAGCTCAACAACCTTTACACAGCTTTTGAAAAGCTCGACTCACCATTGAAAACTTTCAATGAGATCAAGGCTAAAACAGATTTACTACTGAATGAAATATTGTATGAGGCACACGGCACAGCGAAACTTCATGCAGTGGAAAATGCTGTTCGTAACTTTCAGAGTAAACTCGTCAGAGAAGCTTCGAGATTCAAATAATTTTTTTTATTACTTTAATTTTAAGGTATTAAGTCACAAAGGGCTAATTTCACATACGGAACAATCATAAAGTTTTACTTAAGGCCAGTATCGCACTTCGTCAAATTTGAGGACAAGTCTTTCATTGTGAGATGTTTTTTCCTAACCAGGATTCATTTTTATCAGTTAAATTGGACATCTATCTATCCATATTCTATCTATATTCTACTAAATTTCAAGTTGTTTACATATTTGTATATTAATTTTTTTTTGTTTGTTATTTTGTTTGTCTGTTTGGTTACATGAGAACAGCTGCATTAAGTGTGTACGTATTTGTGTAGAGAATAATCTTTTTTTTTTACTTGACTGTTAAACATTTATTTATTTAAAGACGGTAATTAATTTATAAAAGTTCAGAACAATTACAGTATAATGACGTTATTTGATTTCTTTTTCTAAAGGGCAAAGATTTATATCAAATATTTAAGGACTAAAATAGTTTAATAAAGAAGCAATTATTTATTGCTTTTAACTTGTTTTTTGTTTCTAACCAATTTCGATTTGCAACTTTTATAGCATTGATTCTAAAAATATAAAATTTCTGAACTAGTTTTAGGCTTAAGTTTTTATTTTTTAATATTATTACGGTCGCTTTGTTTTCTAAATCTAAAAAAACACGTTTTTATTCCATTTGTCAACAACATGATGGAAGGATTCTCGTCAACTCACTCACAACACACACGATTGGTTCCAATTCATTATTATTATTGGTTTGACGTAGTTTTAATAATTTATTCGTGTATTATTCAAAGAGGTTCGAGCTCAGAAAATAGTCTTGAGAACTCTATGTAATCATATTAAAATTACTTAAATCTACTTTTAAAAAATACGGCAAGCGATAAAATTATAGTTACATTTTAAAAACTTTAAGCTGTTTGGGAACCATGGATTACACTCATTTTCATATTTTTGTATTGAATATAAGTACAAGCCGTTAAAAAGAGGTACTGTTTAGAATTATTTTATCAATTCAACTATTTAAAAAAAAAAAACTGCCCTCAACCTCTCCTCGAAGTCTACCGGAATGGCCATGGAGAGTAAAACAATAAAGTCAGAACAATTGTTTTCCATGACAAAAATACACAATAGTGATCTATGGTGTACTGTATAGTGTATAGCGTAGTATTGTATTTATATTAAATAATATAACATCACTTATCACCACAACAACACCTTTACTCTGCTAATACAAATTAAAATAAAAGTGTTTGCCAAAAAAATACTATATTTCTAGCCTAATAAAACGGAAGTGATTTTGAACTTATTACACAAATATTCAATTTTGGTTGAAAAAAATATGCTTTCTGGCAACAAAATTTTGGAACCATTCGGAACCAGCTTTTCATGTATATTATATAAATAAATCGATGTTTTTAAAAGACAGAAATATGGTAGCTGAGGTGTGACTTCTTTTTAGATGTGATTGCTAAAGTAGGACTTGGCGTGACACGGGGCAGATGAAGTAGAGTGAACCAGTTTTTGCGACCTCAGCATAAGAAGAGATAGTGTGGTCAGACCCATTATAAGCCGAAATCGCGATTTTAATAGGCAAAAAATGTCTGAGGCTTGGCGGGACAAAGTGCAGGTGAAGTAGAGTTCGGTAGGTGAAGTAGAGTTCACATATGACCTCAGCATATGAAGGGATAGTGTTGTCAGACACAGGGCCCGCGCTATCTATAAGGCGAATTAAGCGGTCGCCTAGGGCGCTAGCCTTAGGGGGGCGCAAAAATGTGATGTCTCTAATAGTAAAAAGTGCCTAATAGTTAATAATTTTGATTAAATTATATAAGCTTTAGACAGGGTAATAAAGGCATGGCGATCGATATCGGTGCCCAGGACGAACTATCAATTGTGCAACCCATCTTAAAGCTAAATATATAAAGCCAAACAGTTAGTTCTGCTCCAAGTTGACCTCAGTAGACTTTATCCAAGTTACTGCAGTTCACATTGGATCTTCAATTACTGAGTGTAACACTCCATCCAAACAAATCAGTGGCATAGACAATGGGGGGGGGGGGGTAATAACCCCTCCCATGGACTCACACCCCTATATATATATATATATATATATATATATATATATATATATGATTTTATACAAATGGAAAAATATTTGAACCCCTCCCATGACCAATTCCTGGCTACGCCACTGTAACAAATATCTTGTTTGAGGTTCTTTAAGTGTGTTACTAACTAGTCTTGGATAAAAAACAACAACAAATATTTGTCATATATATAAAAATTACACTGTTTTAATGTGCACAGTCTGTGCTAACTGCAATAGTTAACAAAGATGTTAAAAGGGCAAAACACAGATTGACAGAAACACACCACAAATGCTAACACAGAGATGAAATTTAAAAACCTGTAATTAAAAATAGTAATCAAACTAAATGATATGATAATTAAAAAAATCATATTAAAAATTAAAAAATCTCAGCCAAAGAAAGCGAGGAGACGGTAAGACTTTATCTCAAACACTGAACACTAACCAAAATAAAATAATTAAATCTCAAAAAACAAGCCCAAATAAAATAAAAGAAATATTAACAACATCAAATAAATCATTAAAATAGAAAAATCAACACCCAAAATATAATCAAAGATCTGTAATATGATCTTGAAATTATAGACAGTCTGAAAATTAAATCCAAATCAATCACAAACAACCAAGTATTGAAAAGATGGCAGTACAAAATATTTGTGAGAAACCAATACTAAACATTTAAATATAGAACCCTCCTTCACCCCACAGAGGAATTAATTTTTTAAATTTGATCCTTGTCTATCACAGAGGAGAGAGTCCTGGTGGCTGAGCTTTCATTTAAGTCATCCATTCTGATATTTAACTATTACAGCACTTTTTTTTCCAAACATGAAATAAGTATTCTTGATTGTTTTTTTGTTTATTCAATTTATTGTGTCTTTGATGAGTCGTTTATGTCCATTTTCTCTCTGATAGTTTTTCACCAGAAAAATTTAGTTTAGTTGGCTAACAACTGAAAGGAAATCTCACAAATTTGAGTTTCTAGGGTGTCAACATTTAGATAAGACAACTGTAGATTGAAACCTAACATATTTCTCACAGTACATCTTAGAACTGCATAAGATCACATAGTAGGCTACCACCTTATATGGCATTAGCTCATATGGTATAACCTTATACTGCATCGGTTGATATTTCATTTAATATAAATTTACATTTAACAAAATCAACTATAAACATACAGCACTAAGAGTTCATATCCAAGATTGCAAAATTAAAATCTAGCATATGATAATTTTTAATTCATTCCTATTATTGAAATTTAAAACACATGCTTAGGATGTATTGCTTTAATTTGGGTGTATTCAATATCAAGGTTGGTAAAAAATAAATCAATTAGGTTAGAAATAAATGACCCCATTTAAAAAAAAAGAAATGGAGAAAAAGGTTAATAAAACATTCTGGAAATTCTAAGTTTTAATCAGTATCATCCATCCAAAATGGCACGTAAGACTTGTGCATTGTGATGGGCACATACTTTGAACACAATTCCTTAACTCTCTTATATTCAATTTCTCCAAAGTGGTCAGGAATTTCCTTTACCCTTTCTGCTACTGGTGAGACCCTTGGGGGATTTTCAAAAATCAAAAGTTTCCTTTCAGAAGTTAAGGCACCATGCACATTATTTTCAAAATTCCAAAGTTTGGCTAAAAATCTAAACCCCAAGTTTGTATCTTTAGATGTATGTAATATCAGCCACATACAGCCATTTTTCTGTAGTATGTAGTTGCACTTCTCATTTCTGAAAGTAGTGATCTCTTTTGCTGGCCCAGTTAGATTGTCTAATCTAGTCCAAACTTTGGACAAAATATCCAGCTGGTATATGGCTGTCTTGTCAATACCAAGGCTATCTTCAGAACAAAATAATAAAAGAAAGTTTTCTATAACCATTGTAAGTTGAACATCAGCATTTTCTGGAAACTCTGTTAATATGTCCAGATTTGGGTTCCTGATTTTTGGATTGACATTATATATTAAATGATCATCTCTGTTTAAAATGTAAATGAAGTCTTTGTGTGAAACTAACTGCAAATTTACACCTGGCATATCCATGACTTCAACCCATTTCTTCCCATTGTATGTAAACATCTTGCAAGGATTGTTTGCTTGATTCCGTTGTTTTCCTGTTGCATAGAGCTCATGGTCAAAAGATACTAGCTGAATGTTGACTTCTAAAGAATTAAATTGTCTCAGTGAAGCTATTTGTTTGTTGGCACTAATAAAAAAGAAAAATTCACAGTAAGTATATACACAAGCATGTATATACTTACTACATGATCTATGTCTATCAGCGAACAGCCATAGTCCATGTCTAAAAATTTGGGCTTGAAAACAACCTTCAATGATAATTTTTCTTGCATCTATATTATCCAGTACCAAATCCATTGTTAGAACTTGAGATAAACTAGAAGGACTGACAAGAAATATCCTCACCTCCTTCAACAATTCAGTAAGCTTAGCTTTTCTTAAAGAATTCTCACTTTTTACAGTGTATTTAACTGTATGTAATTTATCTTGTTCTCTCTTCGTATCCTTTAAAAAAATCGCACACATTGCCAACTTCATGATTATCACTTAAACTCTCGTCTAAGTTCATCCAATTTTCAGGGACAAATTCAACCCACCGTATCACAGAATTAAGAACTATTTCTTCATCATTGACAACGACATTATCACTGCTAATCAATTGGTGGACTTCCTTAAAAGACATGTGAAGGAATCTTGGTGAAGTACTAAATTGTTCAAAGTCGCTTAACATGAATGAATGGAGTTTATCCAGAACTGTTTTAGATTCGAAAAGTTTTGCAATAGCATAAATGCCTTCCCAAGTGTCCATTGAAACTGCTTCAATAGCAAACTCTTCGCAAACTTGAACCATGAAATGAATTTGAAGCAAGTGAACAGTTCTCCAGACCTCCATAAAATTCTCTAAAGTTAAAACATTGATCCCAGTATAGAGCGCTTTTAGAATTAACTGAAACACGTCACAAGAAACATCATTCAGGATGACAGAATTTTCTGTGGTTTCTCTCATCTCTGACCGAAAACATGCTCTAAAAAATTCTGAGCATGCTGCAAGTATGAGACGATGACACTGGATGGTTTCACCCTGGACCTGAACAGCGAAGTCAAACAAAATGTTCTCACTCCACACATTCTCCAGGCACTTGACAATTTGCACACAAAATTCTTGTCTGTTCATTCTGAAATGGAAGAAAATAAATAAAAATTTTGCAGCAGATAAAAAAGAGATTTTTATCAGTATCCTCATGGAATCAAAACAAAATTGTATACACATATCAGTTTTAAAAATAATACATGGTCATTTCTTATTGCAAAAACTAAATGTTGTATTACAATGGACTATGTTTAGTAGTAGGTATGTCAAACAGGCTGAAAAAAACAAGACTTTCATCCATATGTTGTAGTAGTTTTTCACTAAACATTTTCTATAATAAAAAGTGCCTTTAATACCTCTAATTCTGTGTCGTTTATATTATTGTTGATATTAAACAATTTATATTATTTATTGATTGAAAACTATCATCAAGGTGACTTATGGCTGATGGCTTATGAGACAGGTGAAGTAGAGGCCACTTGTGTCTGTGACCTCTGCATCTGAAGGGATAGTGTGGTCAGCACCAACAGTTACACATCAGAGCTGGGTGGAAATGTATTTATCCACTATGATAGGTTTCAATGAGATGAAATGGATCATTGAAATAAAATAAACATAAATTTAATAACAGTACCTAAATAAGAAATACATGCATTGAACCACTGAGGTCTAAATGTTAAATTGTAAATAGGCTAGCCCTAGACTAGATCTCTATAGATCTATAGAATTACACCATCTGAAAGTTGAAAAACATTGATGAGTGGATCATCAGACAAACTTATTAGTAGGGCCCTATTACTACTAGGTAGGCCGTACTAATTAATATAACAAGAGTTTAAGTAGCTAGCCCTGTATTATAATAGTAAATAGTTGGCCTACTCAAAAGCAAAAGAAACAAACAACCTGATAAATAAATACAATTAACAATATAAGGTGATCTATCGTTTTAGCCACATTAAATTGTCAGAGGCTAGTGAAAAAAGGTGACTCCTAAAATTTTGGTAATTATTTAACATTTTTAGAAGGATTTGTGTTTAAAAAAGTTACTAAAATGTTTCATGTAGACTGTAGATCTAGATCTACCTGTTTTTAAACAATTTTATTAAAACTTTTCAGTATTAAATAAAGATTAGTGATGTTTTCATTAGATGCAATCAAGCTCGTTTACTTTAGCAACCATATTGTCAAAGTTTTTTCGTAAAATTTTAGTTAGAGATTTAGAGATTCAAGGGAAACCACTCTAATTTAGCAAACAAAGCCACCATCAAAATTCAAAATAATAATAAATAAAAACTTACGCCTAAAATTAATTTAGAAATTTTATGTTTTTAGAATAAATGCTATAAAGTTGCAAATCCAGAGAACTTGAAAATAATTTGTTGAGTTTAAAGCTACATTTCTATTTATTTTCATCAAGCCCAAATTATAATCGGACGTTTCACTTTGGTAAGACAAATATTGATTGGCTTTACAGGAACTCCGTGATCGATAACTATTTGTTTACAAAACTTTGCAGATAAAGTTTTAAGTAACAATGCAAATTTAAACTCCAATGCCCAAGTTTTCCTTTTTTTTTCGCTTACAATGTGTACAATAAAATTTATGGCAGCCTATCGAATAGCAGGATGCCATTGTAACATGTCGGCATGGCCCATTACACGTGAAAACCAAATTGTTTTCTTTGCTTAAAATTTGTATTTAGTTATCCAAAATATTAAAAACATCAAATACATTCAATCTTTAGTAAAGACCCAAAAAAAACCAGACAGGATTTTATAACTAAATATTAATTGTAAATAGATTCTACACAGTGCATGATTTTTAAATTAATAAATGCTTTTTTAAATGGGCCTCTTGAATACTTTCTCGGTAATCTCGTCCTTTAGTAGGTACGTAAAATCAGCCGAGGCTAGATCTAGTATAAACTTATAAATTATAAAATGTGAAAAGACGGTGCCTTATTTAATTTTAGTAATTATTTCACATTTTTAGGAAGATTTATAGATCTAGATTACTAGATTAAATCTAGATCTAATCTAGATTCTAGTTTGAAAGTTACAAAAATGTTTTCAAAGTTTCATTCAATGACATTCATTCTTGTAATGAATTGTAAATGTAATGAATGTAGATCTAGATCTAGAGTAGAAGTAGAGGTAATCTATCGTTTTAGGTACGTAAAATCGCCCGCGGCTAGTAATGTCCGAAAAAGTTACCTCATTGTCAAGGCATTAATAGAAGAGAAGTATATAGTATATTGTGATATATAATATATAATAATAATAATATATTTGTGTCAAATATTATAGATAAATGAATAATAAACCTAAATCAATGGCTAAATATATCAATAATATAATATAGGTAAAAAATTAACTTTAAACAGCAGAGTTTGCGAGTAGGATTTGCTATCTATATAATTATATAAGTAAGTTAGAGTGGCTTCCCCTGAATCTTGCGCTATAAGTTTATTATAAAACAAAAAAAAAACAAGATAGATCTAGATCTAGCTGCTATCATGATTGCATCTGTTGGAAACATGGCTAGTCTACTCTTGGTAATCTATCGTTTTGGGTACATAAAATCGCCCGCGACTTGTAATGTGAAAACCAGGTGACTCCTTAAATTTTAATAATTATTTCACATTTTGAGGAGGATTTATGTTTTTTAAAATACAAAAATATTTCCTTGTTTCATGCCTGATGCTCCATGTTTGACCTTGAATTCTGATGTCTGCTGGCGTTTAGCCAAATTCTTGAAAATAGATTTCTTGAAATCAGTGGCGTAGCGAGAATATAGATTCTAGAAAGATCTAAAATTCTTTGTAATCTTTATTTAGATCTAGATTCTAAATCTAACCCTTTTTTTACCTTTCCAAATTATTTGTCGTTGAAATAGTAGATCTAGATTCTAGTACTTTTCAAAATGGCTTTTGGAAACTTACAGGAAATCGAATGCCAGATTTTTTCGTAGTCTTCGTTATTTTGTTTCGATTTTATAAAATAAATAAAGGGCCTAGCCTATGTAGAATAGTGGTACTTAATATTTTAGATATTATGAAACTGGTGGGGTCTAGTACGTAAAAAAAGTAGGTCAAACGACAGCGTTTTATATGCCCATTTGCCGAAACCTTAATAGTAATAATAGTTCTTTGGACCAACCACACTGACAAAATCTTATGGTCATTCAGCTGGGTGTCTCTTGCCGCCCGCCAAACCCATGAAACTGACTCGGCGAACACCTAGGGTTGGATCGAACCCTGGTTAAGAACCATTGTTCTAGAATGTATATAAAAACCGTCCTCGTGTTATAGTGTTTACATACACACACGCAAACAAAAGGTATACAAAGCCGGTATACTTTAAGATGTAGCCTCCTTCATTATCAAATATAGTCTCCGGAGTTCGTGCATTAAAGATCCAGTTAATGTAGGTTATAAGATGTAGTATCAGTTATGTCGTTAGATTTTACAGAAACACTTGGATATTTCTATGGCGAACCACTTGTACTTACTGGACACTTATTCCTTTGTGGCACCATGAGGAGCAAAGGGCTGCAACCACGTCTCTCCATCGGACTCGAAAAGCAAATCAGATTTATAGCTCTTGGCATCAAATAGTGAACATTTAATCATACGATAAATACACAGGGGCGGAACTACAGTGCCGCCAGACCCCGCAATGCGGGGGGGCCCAGACCGATTGGGGGCCCAAAAATCCTGGCTAAATTATTTTAAAAAAAAAATAAAAAAAAAAAATTAGGTGGAGGTCGAGTTATCTTTCTTCTACAGTTACAAACAAACACGATAGTCGGCAAACGTCTTTGATAAAAATGCACAGACTATAGCTCGAGAGACCGCCAGACATAAAGTCAACTTCAAAGATGCGTTCATTTTTACTTTAACAACTGTATCAATAAACTTGTAAAAGTTTAAGTTATCTCCCTTCAGCGAAGCATCTGAAATTTGACTGTGCCGGCACGCTTTGAAATCGGGCTGGGGAAATGTTGCGGCGACTATCCTGGTCTTCTAGACGACCGGAAAAAGTCGGCACTATTGATGTAGATGTTCATCGGCGCTTTCTTGTCCCCTTCCAATGAACCTTCCCAACTCTCTCCCCTGCCCCCTCTCACCCCTACCCCTCACCTCTACCCCTCACCACACCCTTACTCTTACAATAAGATGTAATGCATAGATTAACGAACCGTCTATGACAGGGGTCGGCAACCTGCGGCTCGCGAGCCGCATGCGGCTCTTTTGATGTCAAGATGCGGCTCTCTCGTTCCATGAACAAATATTAATTCTTATTTTGTTTTATTTTTACAACTCATTAAAAATATTATAAAGAAAAAACAACTTTAAACAGGATATAAAAACACAGCCAGCAGAGAACAATGAGAGTAGGTGAGGTAGAAAGTATACGGACAGCTGAAAGCCGCTTGGGCACCTGACCCAACCCTTCAGCCGTGCTGTGACCAGCCCTATGGCGACGGTTCCATTCTTGCCACTACCCAAGTGCCGACTTTTTCGAATATCGCTAAATGGGGAATATTATTTTATTCAGAAAGCATTTAGCGGTCAATATGCATTAATTTGACCTGACTAACGTGGTTTTTTAGTTATTAGCTTCCTACGGCTGAGCGGGGTTATAGACGGTGGGGTACGAGTTTACCCTGCGTGCAGTGGGGTGGAAGAAAAGCCTTGTGAGAACCGAAGGACAGAAGCGACCGATACCCAAGCAAGTAAAAGGGAGTTGGTAGTGTTGAGACCTGCCTGGCTATGGGAGACACCTCCTTGGCCAGTAGTGTCCGTATCTATAGAAAAAAAAAGTTATTGGCTTCTATTGTGCGAAGTATTAGTATGTTTTAAGTATAAATATTCTTCATATTTAAAGCTATTTATTTCGAATCAAATTTATATATCTAATCCTAATCAAATACCAAAAATATTGAAATGTGAAAAATGTTTGTGGCTCTTTAAAAACTGGGAAATTTTGTAAATTGTAACTTGTGGCTCTTCCGGCTCAAAAGGTTGCCGACCCCTGGTCTATGAACTACTGAACTGTAAACTGACCACTCCTGCACATTTTGTTAAAGACACTAGTCAGTAGTTGTTCATTTACCTGATGAACAGCGACGGAACTACAGTCCCGCCAGACCCCGCAATGCGCGGGGGGGGGGGGGGCAGGCCGTTTAGGGGCCCACGGCTGACCAAAATTAATATTTTTTTAAATTTTGAATTTAATTTTCGTGCATTTTTGCCTTAATATTTGGTTTGTAAAAGAAAAACACTAGCTGCGGTACGATTATCTTTATTTTACAGTCACTATACCACGCTCTTCCGCAACAGATAAAATCCATTACACAAACTACAGTGTAAAATATAGGCAACTCTTCAAATTTGAATGACTTCTTTGACTCGTTGCCCCCCACCTCTTTAATAGCTAAATAGAGGACACGTAACTGTTTAACCGATCCTCCAAAGTGTACTGTCGCGGATTAGGCAGGGGATGGGGACCAAAAAGGGGGTTCAAAAATTGTCGATTTTTTTTTACATATTTTAAACAGTTATTTATAGTTGTATTTTTTAACCATTGTCAAGGCCGAGTTCTATTTCCCTACAATCAAACACACGCTGTCGTCGGCAAAATTCTTTTTAAAAAACAACAAAGTCCATAGCACGAAAAGCCGCTACATATGAAGTGGGCTTTCGTCTTTGCGGCATTGGTAAGGGACCCGAAATCCTTTGTACATTTTTCAATGTTAATGTGTTTGTGATAGTGGTTGAATTTGTATCTTGCATCCTACAAATAATAAAAAAATAATATAATACTATACTAGAAACTTCAGTTTTATATACGGTTACTTGTTTTTGCTTTTACGAGAAATATCATAGTAAACTTTTAAAGTCTATACTTGGAATAATCTCCCCTGAGTAAGTTTTACAATGGGCGATGCTGACGTACATAGATCAAGGCGTTTTGATGTCGCTTTCAAGTTTTTTTCCCGAGCCGACCCCTATCCCACCCCTCTTTCTCAACCTCACAAGTATCGAGGAGATAAATGTATCGTTTATGAACTACTTCCTAACCGTACGATTCAACACTTCAGCACATTTTGTCAGACACTAGACAGCACTAGATCTAGATCTAGATCTAGTCAACAGATATTAATTTACTTTCATAGTATTAGGCACATCTAATTCACAAAACAGGGCAGGTAAGATTATTTTTATATAATTATTTAGAAATTAATTACGTTTAGAATTAATTGAACATTATTAATAGTCAATTACTATTTATAAATGACGTCATTGAGGTGGGGGTGTGTGAGGGTCTGGCTTTTTGTTAGTCCCCCCCCCCTCCCCTAAATCAGAAGGTTATCCAACGCGTGACCTGGCCACATACAGTTGTACATGTGAAAAACATTTTTCTGTCTATTTTGCATTACTGCATCATTCACCCAATCGCCATGAAAACTTGGGAAGCTGTTGAGTACAGCCCCGCAAAAGTTTCTGTCATAGGCCTAACATTTGTACATATTGGAGTGGGGACTCCTAACGGAAATATGTGATTTAGCGCCCCGTGATCCTGCATAAACGGATGAGGTTACTACTTGAATACAACCGGCGTCAGTGTCATCCTGAGCGCATCACATATGAGCAAGTTGGCCCCCCACAGACAGTCGTTTAAAAGTTCCCACAACACTAGGAATAAGTCTCGCTACAACACTCGATGACTAAATCTAATTAGGTGTCGCACCAATGTTTCTTCCTAGGTAGACTGTTTTCGGAGGAGGGGTGGGGAGGGGGAGCTCTGCCGGAAGAAACAATGTGTTGCACCCATCACCCGTGCAGTAATGTAACCGGTAGCTCCAAGAGCCCCGTGACTCCCCTGACACCTGGGTCGTCGCCGAAGGACTTACAGCATGACTTGGCGTGTCTAGTTGGTAGTGTGGACAAACCCGCGCCCTAAGATCCAAGAAATGAACTGCCGACATTGTTAACATTTAATTCAACTTCTGTAAAACAGGACACACGGTTGGTAACGTTTTGATGAAAGCCTCATAAAAACCGGCGTCAGTTTGGAGTGTTGGACTAGATTTAGAGAGTCCGTGCTTCTCACATGGAAAACTGAATGGGGCCAGCTCGTGTGTTGGAAAACCTCTGATTTATTCGGGTACCGGATACATTTTTTTTTAAAATTTAGTGCGACCTTTGTTTTCCATATATATATATATATATATATATATATATATATATATATATATATATATATATATATATATATATATATATATATATATATATATATATATATATATATATATATATATATATATATATATATATATATATATATATATATATATATATATATATATATATATATATATATATATATATATATATATATATATATATATATATATATATATATATATATAGGGGCCCAAAAAAAATTCTGCGGGGGGGCCTTTTTTTTCTAGTTCCGCCACTGTAAATACAAGCAGTTATTGGTTTTAGTTGCGGCTCTCTTTATTTGCGCCCACTTAAGACCGGCAGTTAGTGCCTGATCTGCTACTGTCCAGGATTTATTTTGCCCTGGTGATTCCAGTCTACTGCTTCCTCGCGATGTTGTCCTCTCCCCCTTCTTAAGCAGTGCTTCTTCCAGACTTTTTTCTCCGGGGGGGGGGGGGGCACTTGAAATTTTCGGGGGGGGGGGGCGGTAGACTTTCTTTCCACTACGCAGATCTTGGCTCTGTGTAAAAGCCAATGCTAAGCCTCAATATCTTCTTGTTTGGACTTGATTATCTCCCTTAATTGTACCTTAGCGTCTCTACTTATACCCATACTCTCCAACATCTTTAGCAGAGATCCAGACTCGTCATATTTTATTTTTTAAACCATCTTCCAACGTGTGCCTTACAGATTGTAATATATCGAACGCATCTTTTTTCAGGCAGAGGCGTAGAGATATATTCAGGCGCCCGGGGCGGACTATCAATTTTTCGCCCCCTCCCTCAAATTTCTATATATTTAGTTTTCCATGAAAAAGCGCCCACTCCTCTCAGTTGGAAAAGTTTGTGACGCTTCTTCACAGTTACTATTTTCTATTTCGGTGCCACAAAATTGATATAGAAAACAGTTAAATCAGTTTGTAAAACCTCGTAGTCGTTTATTTTCATAACTTTGACTGTGTATAATTCAATACTTCAGCTTAAAACGAGCTTTTAAACTAATTTTTCTATCCCCATTTGGCGCCCTCTTATGGTCGGCGCCCGGGGCGGTCGCCCCACCCGCCCTCACCTAGCTACGCCATTGCTTCCAAGGCGGTCAGCTTACTCTCGACCTTCTTGTCGTCATACTGATGTTCAGCCTTCACTACGACTAAATTAAACTTCTCTAAAAACACGTCTTACAGGAACGTGAAGAACCATTTCTTTCTTTTGTGTGTGTGTGTCTCTTTGTTATTAAAAGCACACATCTGTAATCGCGCGCCTGAAACAATCTAACCAATTCTTTAGGTTCTGTTTGTCTCTTGCAAACATTCTGCAAAAACACGAACCCAACTTCTGAAAGTTAACCCCGATTTCATGTGTCATGACGACAATACTTGGTTATAAAAAATACTTAGAGATTGTCTCATTATGTTAATAATTCTCTGCCTTTCCTGAGTAAAGTGTCGTATTAAACTAAGAACGGTAACTATTGCGCTGGCCTATAGCACATTACCCCCCTCGGACATCCCCCCCGTATTTACCCCCTCCCCGAGCAATGATCTCCTGTCAATTACGCCCCCGCCCCCGCGGGAATAACCCCCCCCCTCCCTCCCCTCAAGTTAGAATCCTAACTCAAATTCTATACTTATTATAGATTACCTTAATCCTAACCTTAAGAAAAAGAGCAAAACCTAAGTATTCTCCTCAGTCTAAAACTTAACACAAAACCAAAACCAATGCTAGACATTGTTTAAAGCCTAACCCTAACCCTAAGCCTAGCCCTAACCTAACACTAACACTAACCCGAGCCATAGCAATAGCCCAAACCCTAACCCTGACCATAACACTAACCCTAATTCTAACCCTAAATCTAGCCCTAACCCTGTCCGGGGGTATTGTCCTACTGGGCAGGGGGGGGGGGGGAATTGACAAGGGGGGGGGGGGGGTAATTACGTCGAGAGTAAGTGTCCGGGGGGTAATTGACGGGGGGGGGTAATGCCCTGTCCCCATTGCGCTGAACACCTCTTTGAATATATCCATGGTGACGTGTATCCATGTCAAGATTTTCACCTGGACTTCATGGTTCTCCTGCAAGCCAGTTGGAACCAGCAGGTGAATCGTCCCACTGCTTCCATTTCCTTGACTCCAGTTCCGGTATTGCTTGACCATCATCAACCGCTGGCCTTACCCAACACCCCAAGATAGCAGTGTTTCTTCCAGGCATCTCTTCGGTGGGGAAGGGGGGGGGAGGAAGAGGGGAAATGGAATTTAAATAGAAAATATATACTTTTAACAGTGTCCGCCCCCCCCCCCCCCCCTAAAATTTCAAGTACCACCCCAGAAAAAAAAGGCTGAAAGAAACACCCTAGGATAGCGACATACATGGAACGGTGACCATCCCCAAATATTCCAAGTCGATCTTTCTTTCACTCCTCTTCGTTCTTAATTTTTAGTGTTGGATGGTATTCCCTCCGGCACAAATACATATTACGTGTCAACGTGATATGCGCCATACAGGCCATTGACTCCGATTTCTATAGCCTTTGTCCAACCAAGAACAAACTACAAGGCAGCAGTTGTTTGATTTTGGAGTTGTCTCTCCTAGATGGGTTGCTGTCCCCGGCTATCGAGCCTCATCTGCCAGAGGCAATCAGAACAGTTTACAACGCGTTGATGTCTGATGCTCCATGTTTGACCTTGAATTCTGATGTCTGCTGGCGTTTTGCCAAATTCTTGAAAATAGATTTCTTGAAATCAGTGGCGTAGCGAGGTCGGGTGTCACCCGGTGCGGTGCGCACCCCCCGCCTCTGCTTGAAATATAATCGTTAGGAAAATACAAATTCGCAAGGCAAATTTGACACTGTATTGTATTAATTTTTTTTTTATAAATAAAATATCTATTTTAGTTTGATCCATTAAAAGTGCTAGAAGCTGTCGATATTACTGAAAACTTGTTGTTTTGCGGTTTATATGGGCATTTAAAACTGTTTTTTCTTCTTCTAGAATTGAGTTCAACACAGGAAATAAATCAGGTTCTGACCAGAGTGTCATACATTCATCTCTTCTGGGGGTTCCGCCCCCCCCCCTCGAAGAACGTCTACCACCACTCGTAAGGCTTAAAAGGTTTACAAATATAAAATACTTAGAGATCGATTCTTATCGAAAGGGTGAGACATTAAAGTTTATATTTGATTAGAGTTCTAGAAAATCTTTACTTAAAATAAAGCATTAATTATGCTGCAATATGATAAAAAAATTTAATGATTACATTTTCTAGTTGGTCAAGACAGTGCTGTGGCTAGCGACGATAAAAAAAAACATTTCTGTAATACCAGAGTCGTCGCAACCTTTGTTCTATTTCTATAAATAGTTATTCCTGTCAGTGAAAAAGCGTAACTTTGTGTATAATTCAATACTTCAGCTTAAAATTAGCTTTTTATTTTTTTACGCCTTTCGGCGTTCCTTTAGGGTCGGCGCCCCACCCGCCCTCCCCTAGCTACACCACTGTGTAATACATCATGTTTGTATTTAGCCTTGATATCACCGATAACCATGAAGAGCATAAGTAGGCCATGGAATAAGCTCAGCTGCGTGCTAGCTAATCAACAGTTGGCTTTTACAGGGAAACACGTTTTCTAGGAAACACATGACGTTATGAGGCACAATTATGAGATACTGGTGAATTTATAATGTATTCTTCCTGCATCTATGGTCTGAGAACAGTTGTGTTTGAATTATTTTTTGTTACACTGCGGGTAGAAAGTCGAATATTATGGTACAAAATACAATTTATACAAGTTTTGTTGACAGAAATAAGTGACCTGATAATTTATAAAACAATACATACATTATATATATATATATATATATATATATATATATATATATATATATATATATATATATATATATATATATATATATATATATATATACGTAGCATATTTAAATATAACTGTAATTGTAAATAATGTAAAACTGACCAGCCGGCATACAAATTTGGTATAGAACATTGATAAATTTAGCTCAGTGCTTTGTGTTTCTGCTACGTCGTGCGCCACAGGCGTCGTGACTCACCCACACTACTGCTCACTACACTGAGCATGGCGTTATTTGCATGACCTTGATGAATACAATTTTGTATTAATCAAGTTCATGCAATTAACGTTATACAGTATTTGAAAAGTTTTACCGATCTGTAGATATAACAACTACACACAAAAAAACAACGTTTTAATAACAAAGTTTTATGTAATAATGCAATGAAAATGAGAAAAAAACTTTTCGTTAAATATATACTGATACATTAATATTTAAATAACTAGTATTTGTGATGGATAGACCAGTTTTACCATACAATAGACCAGCCTCTCTCAACAGACCAGCCTCTCTCAACAGACCAGCCTCTCTCATCAGACCAGCCTCTCTCAACAGACCAGCCTCTCTCAACAGACTAGTAGTACCATACAAGAGACCAGTCTCTATCAACAAAATAAGTTTTTATTAAACACTTATTTTTTTTCCGAAGTTGTTGATAGAACTAACAGCCCCAGTAAAGTCTAACCAGAACATATATTTCAGACAAAAAAATAATTTCCAAGCAACGTGCATATGGTCACAGTAATACGATTATTGAATGTTATAATTTACATTACGAAGCATGCTTAGTTAGAGTATAATAGAATAAACCTATTCATAATGGGATATGCTCAGTTTATTTCTATTTTTAAATAATTTAAGATCTGAAGCCTTTTTAATACTTTTACCATATTTGGCACATGAAAGTAAGCATTAAACAGCAAAAAAAAAAAAGAGTTGAAAACATGTTGGTTGTCATAGAAACCCGAAAAAAAAAACTCCGCCATTATGAATTTTTCGGTGCCTTTAAAAACGCTAAGGATTTTTTTAAATGGACTTATAGCAATCAAATTTAAACGGCTTATATTTCAGCATATATTAAAACTTTTGTCACAACAACTTTTTGAAAGAGTTACTGGTCAGAATTCTACAAGGTTTAAAACATTGTACTATGGTGGCATTGTTTCATAAATAAAAAAAAGTATTAGGCTTGTTAATGCAAAAAACTATAAACTGAGAAAACAGCAAAATAACGAAAATTAGGTGACGAAAATACCATATATGTGTAATTTGTAAAGCCAATTTGTAAGATGTGGGTGTTTTCGAGACGATGGAAAACACGACTATCAAATACCTGAGATTTCCAGCTTTTTTAATGATGCCAATTACAATATGATGACGGTTAAAATTGGAAAAAAAATATTTAAAAAAAAAATTAATAGGGTCATAAAAACAGTATTTTAAACCCATAACATTTTTTTTGTCAATAAAGTTATTATTTTCTTAATAGAAAAATGGACAAAGTATCCAAAAGTGTAAAAAACCCATTATGACGAAAAACCAGGTTTATTGTTATTTTTTTAATGAGCATATCCCCTATAAATGCAGTTCATTGTTCCACATGTCTATCAAGTGCCGAAGTATCATACAGTGTACATCTCTTATAACATTAATTTATGTCAATTTGTGGCACGGTGATCAAGAATAATTTTAAAATATTTAATTATCTAAATTAAAAATCTACACATTTGTATAAAACATGTTATTACATGGCATACAGTTTGTTTATTGTAAACACTATGCTTAAAAAAAGTGGTCTTATAAAATCTAGTTAGATACATTATACATTTGTTTAAAACATAAAGGCAAATAGTCTCAAAATGACCCGAAGTTTGTAATTATAAGAGGCCAGTTATACATAGTAACGAATATTGTAGTAGTTGAATAAGCAGCCAACTTAAACATCATCGTCCATAAAATGGTTTTAGTCGCACCACTCAATAGCTTGCTAGATGAGGAAGACCTGTATTAATAAAAAGTAATTTTATTAAAAAGTTCTTATTCCATTTATATAAAAATGTTTGCTAATAGCTTGTAGTGTACCGATAGTATAGTTACAGGCAGTGGCGTAGCGAGGGGCAGGGGGCGGGGGTGCGGACCGCACCGGGTGACACCATTTAGGGGGGTGACACCAAGGCAAAAAATAGCAAAATATATTTAGAAAAATTATAATTCCACTTAATTAAGTGATTAATTCGAGTGTTAAATAGTCTTTTAAGAGGTGCAAAGCGAAAGTTTGAGGGGGGGGGGGGGGGGGGGGAGGGGGGTGCAAATCGAAAGTTTGATGGGAGGGGGGTGCAAATCGAAATTATGAGGGGGAGGTGGGGGGCGCAAATCGAAAATTGAAAGTTTGTCCCTGGAAGGGTTGCTACGCCTCAGGGGGGGTGACACCATTAAGTGCCGCACCGAAATTGAAAGTTTGTCCCTGGAAGGGTTGCTACGCCTCAGGGGGGGTGACACCATTAAGTGCCGCACCGGGTGACACCTAACCTCGCTACGCCACTGGTTACAGGGAATGCAAATAGCTTGTAGTGTACCGATAGTATAGTTACACGGAATGCAAATAGCCTGTAGTGTACCGATAATATAGTTACAGGGAATGCAAATAGCTTGTAATTTACCGATAGTATAGTTACAGGGAATGCAAATAGTTTGTAGTGTACCGATAGTATAGTTACAGGGAATGCAAATAGTTTGTAGTGTACCGATAGTATAGTTACAGGGAATGCAAATAGCTTGTAGTGTACCGATAGTATAGTTACAGGGAATGCAAATAGCTTGTAGTGTACCGATAGTATAGTTATAGGGAATGCAAATAGCTTGTAGTGTACCGATACTATAGTTACAGGGAATGCTAATAGCTTGTAGTTTACCGTATATATATATATATATATATATATATATATATATATATATATATATATATATATATATATATATATATATATATATATATATATATATATATATATATATATATATATATATACATATATACTTTATTGTAACATAATTATAATTGATACTAACAATATGAAAGGTTAATTTATTTTCTAGCATTTTTTAAACTATTCCATTTAGAATGGTCAATAAAAAAAGATTTGAACTCTTGCCTTTATTTTAAAGCTGACTGAACACGTTTGACCGCTTGTTCGTATTTTTGTACTTCTTGCATGTACGCCCTCCTTTCTTTCATCAGTGCGATAGAAGTTGCACTAGAGGCAAAGCCAGCCGCCGCCAACCCAGCGGGACCCACCACAATCGTGCTAAGAGCAGCGACAGTTGACAATGCCATTCCGCCTAAAAACTTCAACCACATTTTTTTACAGTTTGGTGGGTTTTTGATGGTGTTGATATCCTCAAGCAGCTGCAAGAGTTGAGGCAAAACATCGGTTTGTTTTGTAGTAGTAGATATATCATGTATTCTTTTCTTGATCGCCAGAACATTATTCCTTAAATCCTGAAACAAATTTGTGTGTTTGTCCTTCATATCAATTTCCTTCAGCAAATCGTCAACTCTCTGCTGAAGTTTGTTGAAATCAGCTTGTGATTTATTTCGCACATTTCTAATAGCTTCGTCAACTTCACCCACAAGTAAACTGATCTTCTGCTGTATTTCTCTCTGCAGCTGAGGCAGTTCCTCCTCCATAAGTAGTTTCTCTCTTTCAACTGCGGCTTTTTGGAAACTTTCACGGACATACCGCTGAGGAAGATGACAGGCCATTTGCAAAAAATTGTCAACAATTTCCTTTTGTTTACGTTTGTTTTCTTCAGTTTCTGGGAGGAGTTTGTTATAAAAGAGCACAATTCTGTAATGGCATTCCTGGAACAATTCAACCAGCTCTTTCGGCTCCGTTTGACTCCTGCACCAAACATCAAACGACATTCCAGTTTGCTCATAATCAAACATAACGCCATGCGTCATGACGATTATACAATTTTTAATCAAATCTTTTCCAAAAGATTCCCTGATTATCGAAATCGCCTTTTTCTTCTCAGCCGTGAATCTTTCTCCAAATTTGAGCACGATCACAATGGCGTTAAATCCTTCTTCGCAAAGTCCCATTGCACTGTAAATATTGGTCAAAGTCGTCCTCTGAGTGTCATCCGTGTCCATGATACCAGGTGTGTCGACAACATTGATCAGCCCGTGTTCCCACTCCCTACACTCTAAAGTCGACATCTTTGTCTCTGAGACTGATGCATTTGAAGATTTGAATGCGTTGCGACCCATAATTGAATTTCCTGTTGAACTTTTGCCAAAACCCGTCATTCCAATCAGAACGATGTTCAACGGGTTGATTTCCGAAGGTGCTACTGTAGATGCCATGTTTACCTACAAACGATAACAACATATATATATATATATATATATATATATATATATATATATATATATATATATATATATATATATATATATATATATATATATATATATATATATGTATATATATATATATGTATATACATACATATGTTTATATATATTTTGGCCGGCCAATGTACGAAATACGCTCTAAGTGCTAAGCTCTTCCGGCTCTGACCAAGAGAGCCGGACAATGCACTTCGGGCTTTGACCGTCACATATATAAATATAATATTATATATATACATATATATATATATATATATATATATATATATATATATATATATATATATATATATATATATATATATATATTTATGTACGTATGGGTCTATATTTATGTATATATATATATATATGTATATACATAAATATGTTTATATATATATATATATATATATATATATATATATATATATATATATATATATATATATATATATATATATATATATGTATATATATAATATTATATTTATATATGTGACGGTCAAAGCCCGAAGTGCATTGTCCGGCTCTCTTGGTCAGAGCCGGAAGAGCTTAGCACTTAGAGCGTATTTCGTACATTGGCCGGCCAATGCGCGCACTGGCCGTGACGTAATGGCCAAAGTCTTAAGTGCTTAAACTTGACATCGTATTTCGTACATTGGCCGGCCAATGCGCGCACTGGCCGGGATGTCTTGACCAATGTCTTTTCTAGACTATACAATATTGTATAGAAACCTTACCTTAAATCACATAAAGAAAACTGAGTCCTACTGAGCATGTAAACGAATCTAACTCTTCTCTTAATAATTGAGCTATAAATAGATTAGAAAATGTGGGTCACGGCCAGTTGTATTTTATCGCTGAAAACAACGCATACCTACGCATTGCTTGTGCTGTGTACATGATAAAGGCTAAAGTCTAAAATGTTCTAAAATGTATTTTACTTTTGTCAAGAAGAAAACAACCAGTGTCCGTATACATATAATATATTATGTGTAGACCAGTATAGCTTTTTATAATCTTCTCAGAGAACACACACACATACACACATATCACAATCACAATCACAATCACAATCACAATCACAATAACAATCACAATCATAATCATAATCATAATCATAATCATAATCATAATCATAATCATAATCATAATCATAATCATAATCATAATCATAATCATAATCATAATCATAATCATAATCATAATCATAATCATAATCATAATCATAATCATAATCATAATCATAATCATAATCATAATCATAATCATAATCATAATCATAATCATAATCATAATCATAATCATAATCATAATCATAATCATAATCATAATCATAATCATAATCATAATCATAATCATAATCATAATCATAATCATAATCATAATCATAATCATAATCATAATCATAATCATAATCATAATCATAATCATAATCATAATCATAATCATAATCATAATCATAATCATAATCATAATCATAATCATAATCATAATCATAATCATAATCATAATCATAATCATAATCATAATCATAATCATAATCATAATCATAATCATAATCATAATCATAATCATAATCATAATCATAATCATAATCATAATCATAATCATAATCATAATCATAATCATAATCATAATCATAATCATAATCATAATCATAATCATAATCATAATCATAATCATAATCATAATCATAATCATAATCATAATCATAATCATAATCATAATCATAATCATAATCATAATCATAATCATAATCATAATCATAATCATAATCATAATCATAATCATAATCATAATCATAATCATAATCATAATCATAATCATAATCATAATCATAATCATAATCATAATCATAATCATAATCATAATCATAATCATAATCATAATCATAATCATAATCATAATCATAATCATAATCATAATCATAATCATAATCATAATCATAATCATAATCATAATCATAATCATAATCATAATCATAATCATAATCATAATCATAATCATAATCATAATCATAATCATAATCATAATCATAATCATAATCATAATCATAATCATAATCATAATCATAATCATAATCATAATCATAATCATAATCATAATCATAATCATAATCATAATCATAATCATAATCATAATCATAATCATAATCATAATCATAATCATAATCATAATCATAATCATAATCATAATCATAATCATAATCATAATCATAATCATAATCATAATCATAATCATAATCATAATCATAATCATAATCATAATCATAATCATAATCATAATCATAATCATAATCATAATCATAATCATAATCATAATCATAATCATAATCATAATCATAATCATAATCATAATCATAATCATAATCATAATCATAATCATAATCATAATCATAATCATAATCATAATCATAATCATAATCATAATCATAATCATAATCATAATCATAATCATAATCATAATCATAATCATAATCATAATCATAATCATAATCATAATCATAATCATAATCATAATCATAATCATAATCATAATCATAATCATAATCATAATCATAATCATAATCATAATCATAATCATAATCATAATCATAATCATAATCATAATCATAATCATAATCATAATCATAATCATAATCATAATCATAATCATAATCATAATCATAATCATAATCATAATCATAATCATAATCATAATCATAATCATAATCATAATCATAATCATAATCATAATCATAATCATAATCATAATTAGCAACATGCTAAAATAAAAAATAAATAAAAGCAGAGAATGCGGTTAAATATTTCTTTTATAAAAGTAATGCAGAGTTGTAGTAACTGTGTGTGTATGTGCGTGTGAGTGTGTCTGCTTTTCTTTCTCCGTTTGTGTGTGTTTATGCGAGTGTTTGTGTGTGTCTCGTATGTCTGCGTGTTCGTTAATAATGTGTTTCAGTGTATATGCTGTGTATATAATTTATGCCTGAGTGTGTGTCTCATTCTTTCAGATTAAGCATATTGTAATTTCCATCCTTGTAACTACTATAGGCCTAGCATCGCACATTTTAAAAAGTCGGTAATTCTTAACAATTACGAAAAGGTTAAAAAAAAACCCAGATCTTTACGAGAAAACGTGTTTTCCAGGAAACCGTGACGTCACGATAAGTGCGCGCTTTTATGCTAGTAATTTTATTCAACTAGATAAGTGGTAAACTCGGTTTACTAAACTGTATGATACAACTACTGCGCATAACTGCAAGTATTACTAATAATAGTACAAACGATAAAACCTAACAGCGTATTGATATAAGAGGTTTGTTTTACAAGACTTTTATATTTCCTACACATTTAAATGTTAGCTTAAATGAGGTGTTATACACATGGATATACATACACACACGCAAACGCACACACACATACACATATATAGCCATAGCCATAGCCATAGCCATAGCCATAGCCATAGCCATAGCCATAGCCATAGCCATAGCCATAGCCATAGCCATAGCCATAGCCATAGCCATAGCCATAGCCATAGCCATAGCCATAGCCACAGCCACAGCCACAGCCACAGCCGTAGCCGTAGCCGTAACCGTAGCCGTAGCCGTAGCCGTAGCCGTAGCCACAGCCGTAGCCGTAGCCGTAGCCGTAGCCGTAGCCGTAGCCGTAGCCGTAGCCGTAGCCACAGCCACAGCCACAGCCGTAGCCACAGCCACAGCCGTAGTCGTAGCCGTAGCTGTAGCCATAACCATTGCCACTGCCATAGGCAAAGGAACAGGCACATACACAAACACATACACACACGTATAGACACACCGACAATTATATAAATATAAAAGTATAAATGTAATTTTTTTAAAAACTTACCAAAGACACAAATTACTCAGCTATAGTGCTTAGTGTTAACTCAAAAATCTTACCAAGGACAGACTTTACTCAGCTATAGTGCCTAGTGTTAACTAAAAAAACTTACCAAAGACAGACTTTACTCAGCTATAGTGCCTAGTGTTAACTAAAAAATCTTACCAAGGACAGACTTTACTCAGCTATAGTGCCTAGTGTTAACTCAAAAAACTTACCAAAGACAGACTTTACTCAGCTATAGTACCTAGTGTTAACTCAAAAACCTTACCAAAGACAGACTTTACTCAGCTATAGTGCCTAGTGTTAACTAAAAAAACTTACCAAAGACAGACTTTACTCAGCTATAGTGCCTAGTGTTAACTCAAAAAACTTACCAAGAACAGACTTTACTCAGCTATAGTGCCTAGTGTTAACTCAAAAAACTTACCAAAGACAGACTTTACTCAGCTATAGTGCCTAGTGTTAACTCAAAAAACTTACCAAAGACAGACTTTACTCAGCTATAGTGCCTAGTGTTAACTCAAAAAACTTACCAAAGACAGACTTTACTCAGCTATAGTGCCTAGTGTTAACTCTAAAAACTTACCAAAGACGGACGTTACTCAGCTATAGTGCCTAGTGTTAACTGTAAACTATGCATCATGTGATAGTTCCAGTTAAGAACAAGCCTCCCGGACTCGCCAGGCCTTATGTGCTAACCAACGTGAATGCGCTTGGCTCAGTGGCGTGGGCAGGGGGTGGGGGGGGGATCAGAGGGGGTGGGGGTTATAACCTCACCATGGACACCTTTGTAAAAAAAAATGTCATAAAACCACTGTAACTTAATTAAATCTATTTCTAAATCAGTGTATATGTATACTTATATATGTATGTTAAGAACAGCCATCTAAAAACTGACGCTATTATGGTTATCTCCCCCCCACCCCTCCGTTCACACTTAAGTATACGCTGGGTTAGATAATAGACCTAAAGTGACCAGGCAGGGGTGAATCAAGTTGAACCCCACCCCCCACCCCACCCCACTCCTGTTAAGCTCATATCTGGGAAAATTCGGTAAAGCAGTTAAAATATAAATAAAAATGTACATATATGTATATATATACCCCCCCCCCCCCCGAACGAAATAAAATGTATATAGAAATATATACTTTTAACAGTGTCCCCCCGAAGAAAGTCTACCGCCCCCCCCCCCCTCCCGAAAATGTCAAGTGCCCCCCCCCCCCCCCGAGAAAAAAGTCTGGAAGAAACACTGAACATGAACTGTGACGCACATCGAGTATCTTAGTAGCAATAGTAACATGAATCAAGAGGTCACCAAACAATGAACGATATCAGAAGCAATGGATGAAAAACGAGACAGATTTTTTATCAAAAGATCAGCCCAAACTAAATTTAAAAAAAAAAAACAAAAAAAAAAACGATGTCGCACAGCATATACATAAATGTATATTATGTACAAAAGTAATCTCTGAACGCGATAGTAGAAATGATCTAACAATTTAGAATCGATCAAGAAATATCAAGATCTAACACATATACATCAAGGCCACCCATAGAACACTACGTTGTACAAGCACTTTTAGATGATGAACAAATCGCGTTTTCCTAGAAACAAAAATGTAGGTCACATCTATTTTTAGACGGGCTGTACATTGCCAGACTTTCTTTATTGCTGTGAGAAAAACCGTGCAAACGTTTGCAACAGGAAGGTAATTGGAGTCAGTGGCGTGACACCATTTAGGGGGGGGGGGTGACACCAAGGCAAAAATAGCAAAATATATAGAGAATAATGATAATTCCACTTAATCAAGTGATTAATTCGAGTGTTAAAAAGTCTTTTAAGAAGAAAATTTGACAAATCCCGACAAGGGTGGGGGGGGGGGGGGGGGGGGCAAATCGAAAGTTTGAGGGGGGGGGGGGGTGCAAATCGGAAATTGAAAGTTTGTCCCCGGGCGCCTGGAAAGGTCGCTACGCCTCTGGGGGTGACACCATTAAGTGCCGCACCGGGTGACACCAGATCTCGCTTCGCCACTGATTGGAGTTCAACTGCTGTTATCACTTGAGTCCCTCCCCCACCCTCCCCGTACTTTTTGACATTTTACAACGCTTTACGCATATTTTGTGTGCTGTGGATGGTTCGCAAGTTACTCACGCAAAAATATGATTGGTGTCTGGAACAGTCTTCATTTTTATACTTTGTTTGATGCATTCAATAATATTTTCTAACAAAATATATTATTCTTTTATATAAAAAAAAACAACAACAAGAGATGTTGATAACAGTTTCATTACTAAACGGCATCTTTACAAAGGGAAAGTACTTCATTAACGCTTTCAGCAAAATCATCCTTGCCTTGTTATTTCCCCTTATGAAAGCAACAAAATATAGAGGAGCGGTGTATTGCTAAAGTAGTATAGAGTGGGGAGGGCTGGACTATTATGTACGAGCGGTCCGTGGAAGAAATAAAAACGGCGCTCTCTGACATAAATTGCACAGTGTATTTTATTTTTATCTATGTCTGATGAGCCATGCCTACACACTAACGGAACTATTTGCATACACAATATACAATAATAATAATAATAATAATAATAATAATAATAATAGTAATAAAGAAATGAAAGGTTAATTGAATAAACACATTCAAAACAGTCAAGCGCGTAGCGTAGCGAGGGGCGGGGGGGGGGGGGGGGGGGGCTGTGGCGGGGGGTGAGATATGTCCCCGGGCGCCGACCTTAGGGGCGCCGAAATGGGTTGGAAAAATAAATTGAAAGCTTGAGTGGGGGGGGGGGGGGGGTGCAAATCGAAAGTTTGAAGGGGGGTGCAAATCGAAATCTTGAGGGGGTGGGTGCAAATCGAAAGTTTGTCCCCGGGCGCCGGGAAGGGTCGCTACGCCTCTGGTCAAGCGGCCCACTGGGATCTTATCCATGAAGTTCTACTTGGATTTTTCTACGCCCAGTCCACCACGGGGGGGGGGGGGGGGGGGTAGTAGGTAGGTCTGATTTCTTTGACTTTGTGTGACGAGATGTATGTTCAAATACAGCTATATGTATGTTTTCAAATACAACTATATCTACGGTTTCAAATACAGCTATATCTATGTTTTCAATTGCAGCTATATCTATGTTTTCAAATACAACTATATCTACGGTTTCAAATACAGCTATATCTATGTTTTCAATTGCAGCTATATCTATGTTTTCAATGGCAGCTATATCTATGTTTTCAATGGCAGCTATATCTATGTTTTCAAATACAACTATATCTACGGTTTCAAATACAGCTATATCTATGTTTTCAATGGCAGCTATATCTGTTTTCAAATACAACTATATCTACGGTTTCAAATACAGCTATATCTATGTTTTCAATTGCAGCTATATCTATGTTTTCAATGGCAGCTAAGTAGTATATTAGGTCACTTTTGATTATTATTTTTGGCGGAGCAGGATGTGGGGAGGAGCAATGACATATTGTAAAATAATCGGGAGCAGGATGCGCAGAGGGCGCAAAGACATATAGTAAAATACTACGCCAACTGGGGTTGGCGGAGCAGGAGCGTGGGTCACCTTTTGGTGACCTTGTGACGTAATCATTGACCTTGTGACGTAATCAGTGACCTTGTGACGTAATCATTGACCTAGTTACGTAATATTAATGCGTTTTTTAATGAGTTTTAATGAGTTTTTAAATTTTTAATTAATTTTTATTATCGAGTTACGTAATTTAATTACTTTGATTGTATTTTTATTTTGTTTAATTTGTTTGTTTACTTGTTGTTTAATTTAATTACTTTGTTTATATTGTGTAATTTTTATTAACGAGTTACGTAATTTGATTATTTGTTTACTTTTTAATTATTTTTATTTTGTTTATTTTTAATTTTATTTTATTTTATAATTAGTTAAATTATTATTAACTAGTTACGTAATTTGATTTTAATTACTTTTGTTTATTTATTTATTTGATATATTTCTTTTCTTTGATGTTTAATTTGTTGGTTTGTTTATTTGATTGTATGTATGTTTAATAGTAAACGGATAGGGGTGTTGGTGGATGAGAGGGGGAGTAATGATGGGGTTTGAGGGTAGGGGTGCGCTAGCGTGTACTTTGTGAATAACATCCATTAACCAGACATGTAACAGATGTTACGTATTGATCGCAGCTACAGGCCCATCACAGCATGATGTCCCACCTAATTAAATTTTGTTATGCATCATTGATTTTCCCCCGCTTGGTTTGAAAGGTCATGGTAATTAACGACGTACATTAAGTGGCTTCCCGCGAAGTACGTAGGTCATTATGCAACAGCTGTGTAATATCGATCGCATCCACTAACCATCACACCTAATTAAATTGGTCACGCATCGTAAGTGTAGCGACATCGGTAACTATTCGCTTATAGCGAGGTCAGCGAAAACCGTTCGATTTGTCAGCTCCGTGAAGCCCTTAGGTAACAGCTGGTGCTGTAATTAGTCACGGCTCTCGGCTTTTTTCATTAGATTACAGCTGTCCATGAACTATGTTCACATATCGTACGCCCGGTCATTCTTTGATCAAATTAAAAATTTTTGTTTCCACATGTCCTACGAACCGTCCCTTGCTATGTATGAAAGATTAATGGTTGTAACTATTCGCTTATAGCGAGGGTCAACGAAAACAAAATATATTTAAGGGTCGGAATTTTCTTTCAACCACCGTTAAATCAGGTTTTGAGACGAAACGAAGTCTCGGTAGGTTCATGCTTTTTAATGGGCGACAGGGGCGACTTAGTGCGTTGGTACGTAAGGTATGCGGGGGGTAGACATGTTTTTTTTTTACAAGTCTGGAAAAGTAATTAAGTTTTTTATGACCGTTCCGATTTTCTTTTGATCTGACCACCATTTGACCACCCTGAGCCAGATAAATTTAACAAATGTTCAATACATAGTCGCTTATAGTAACATGGGTGAGGGGTGTAAGCAGGCGGGTGACGGTGTGAACAGGTGGGTGAAGGGGGAAATATTAACAAATGTTCAATACATACTCGCTTATAGTAACATGGGTGAGGGGTGTAAGCAGACGGGTGACGGTGTGAACAGGTGGGTGAAGGGTGAAAGGTGGGTGAAGGTGGAGAAGGTGGGTGAAGGGGGGAACACGAGTAGGAGTAAAGGATATATAGTAAAAGACTCTACCACCTGAGTGAGGTGGGTGAGGAGGCGGATTTTAATTTTAATTTTTTATTTTATTTTTTCAGCATCTGTTAACTTTAAGGTTCTATAACTCTATATATTTAAATACATTTTTTTTATTCAAACGAGTTTACTTTTCCTAATGTAAGTACAGGTAAAGAGGGATTTCCTATAGATCTGTAATGAAGTAGGCCTTGTTGACTATGACTGGTTGTCCAGGTGTTGACATGATACACTTTTTTGAGATACACGTACACACACACACACACACACACACATACGCGCGCGCGCGCGAAATTCATACTAGGTCGATAAAGGCGGAGAGAACTTATAGGTATACATTATCATGGTGACAACAAAAGCGATCCTTATTTTATTTATATGAAAGCGTGTTTTCCAAAAAGTGTCACCATGCCGTTGTCATTTTCGCAGAGGGGTTTATTTTAAGTGCACCTCGTGCACGCTTGTTTACATTTTAAAACTCGTGTCGCGTGTCTTCCCTAA